TAGGCGGACAATGCTGTTCCTGCAAATATCGCTAGCTGTTTTATGAACTCTTACTTTCCTTAATCTACCTGAAGTGAACGTAGAATATATTTAGTTAAGTGGAAGGTTATTAACACCAAAATACCCTGACTGTCATTTTTGCAGTTGTCTATACATTGATCAACCCTTGATGTCATTGATTGAAACATTTCGAAAAGCACATTTAACATCCTTAAACTGTCCCCTACATAGAAAATCAAGTTCATCTGAGTTTATTGAGGTATCAAAATTTGGGAGAGGTCAAAACAGAGTTGCCAAATGTGAAAATTTCAGTTTGCACATTTACATTTTAGGCACCGAGGACTGCTACCGTAGCGCGATTAAAATGAGCGATGAGGACGTGAGTAGTAGCGGAGCAGCCGATCGAGGAGTTCTACACGGCATGAACGATATCATGGGCATTTCGGTTGCTTACAACACATACGAGGAGTTGTTGAAGCCGAAGGGTGAAATGCTCTCAGTATCAGCTCGACTACAGCTCGAAAGCTTTGTGAACCAATTACAGCCGTACTATTGCTCTTTGGCAAATCCAAGCAATAGGTTCAAAGAGACTGAACATCAGGTGAGCTATAATTGTATGATTTTGAAATTTTTTGTGAAGAATCCAGATTGTTAGGTTAATTAACTGAAATTTTCGAGAAGGGATGTTCTCGCGTATTGCCCTAAAGCCATACTGAGTAGACTTAAGGGTTTAGACTACTAGTTTTACTAGCCTTAAATTTCGAGACATCCTTGCTCTTCTTGATAGTGTTCCCCAGATGGTATACCCATCTTTCTCTCTCTCGTTCCTTTTCTTCACTGCATAAGAATATGGAATGTTTCAAATATGGACTCAAATTTTTAAACTCTTATCAATATCAAATGACCATTTATAAGCTCAAAAAGGAGTAAAGAAAGAAAGTTGGGTCGACCTTATCAAACAGTTTGAAGAACTATGCATTAGTTATTAATTATTGTTTTATTATCTAGTACCACCTAAACGGTCCTCTTTCTTCTTTTTTGATAACAGCAGTTTTTTATATTTTGTACCTTTTGGTACGAGAATGCCATTTTGCACCATAAAAAATTCTTTCCATATCATTCTAATCATATTATTTTATAAGCACACTGATCTTCCAATGACGTGAACAAAATTTGATAGGGAAAGTAGAACAATTGAGAAAATGGGAAAACTGTCAAATTTCTAATAATAAAAAATTTCAGAGCCTCCTGAAAATCTTCCTGGATTCATTGGTCAAGAAATCCGGCTTGTTTGGATGCAAAATCGGCAGAAACCCGTCAAAGTGCGAGATTCGATTTGAGGATGAACTCGACTCCCCGCTCTATGAAAATATTGCAACATCCTACGAAGAAGACAGCGAATTGGGCAAAGAGAATCTTATATAAAATGTAACATATTTAAACTATTGTATACCTTATGAATAATAATCAATTGATATCGGTGAAAATTTTGAATTTGAGTGATTGTGCGATGACGAGAAATAAACGAGTTATCACTGTTTTTAATGGAAATCGTTGAATGGCTAAACCAAATGGGGGAGGTCCAAGGTATTTGAGGATCTCAGAGCAAGATGAGGAGCTGACAATTAGCTTAAATAGTAAAGCCAAGACTTGGGTTAATGTTGTTCTTGGTATTTCTGTGCTTAATTTTTACTCAAATTTTAAGGGCTACACCGATACGAATACGTAAATTATGTCCAGTAAAAAGTATCTTAGGTCCAAGAAAAGATACGAGGGGATTAATAATAAGGTTAAGTTCTTTGACTAAGAGTTTCAAGGCTAGTAAGAAATATTTTTCACTCGCTTAAGCATTATTCCGAAGCAAAAATTTAAGCTGAATTCCAAAGATCAGCAGTAATAGTGTCTCAGGGTCTTATGGTCCCGAATCAATATGCCCTCGCCTAAAGACGTGTCGCAGTTTATAGCAGTGGTCCTGCTAAAAAGTACCTTTATTTTTTTATAGTGCAACAACGAATAATTCAATTTTAAATAATATTTATGGGCACACAAAAATATAAAATTGTTATATAAAATTACTTCACATAAATTACAAACATTTGGAATAGTTTTGAGTTGAATTATAAAGCGACGAGAAATTTCGAGGATTCGGCAATGAGCTGGTGGGTGGAAATTGTGCTCCGTAAGCCATTGTTGCGGTATTGAAGAAGCCTCCAGGCTGCAGGCCAGCTGGCGCGATCAGTGATCTGGAAGAAATAAAAAATTTTAGTTTGTGAAATTTTTCTCGCAGTTTTGGAACATTTTGAATGTTCAATGAATACATTTTTCATACAATTTATTAAATTTCCATAACTTTTTATGGTTCTCGAATTTTATAAAACGTCATTTTGAATGCAACATTCCAAAAAGCATCCAAAACCTTTGAGAAAAGTAAAAACGTACCTGTAATTTGCAGCCGCTTGCCAGGTAGGATGCATAAAAGCGTCGGTGGCGCTGTGCAATCGCGCTGACGCTGCAAAAAGATCGGCCGAGGTTGCACCACATTGAGCCGCCGTTGGCTGGGGCTGAAGGGCCTGAGCAATGCCTAAATACAAAGTTAAAATGAAAGAAAACTCTTTTTATCTGTTTTTCTTGATTTTCCTTATATTTTTAGTTTTTCATATATTTCTATGATAGATTTTCTGAAAAATAACATTATCCAAAATCTTGCAAACCTTGGAAGTCGAATTTGTAAGCATATCTCTTTCCGTGAACTTTGCACATAATATTTTTGTCGTAATAATATCTGAGAGCCCGAGACATTTTGTCGTAGTTCATGTGCGGTTTGGATTTCCGCTCACCCCATCGCCTTGCCACTTCATCCGGATCGACCAGCTTGAACTCGCCTTGAGTGCCTTCCCATGTTATCGACTCAGCATTCCGACTGAAAAAGTTAACATACAATCTTTTTCGGTGTAGGTTTGTTTCTCAGGAGGAATATTTGCGGGTAATTATATATCGAAAATTTTTCGAGTTTTCTAGTATTTTTAGGAAGTATTTCTACAAACCCATAGAAAAGCCACATGTATGGCTGAGCAGGTTAAGCTTCGGCTTTCCAATCAGCAAGGCCGGGTTCGATGCCCACTATGGCCCATGTGGGCAGTCCACTCAGCTGTGCATCCCTCGTCTGCACTGTATGTGCGGAGGGTCGGCGTAAATGAGCACTGGCCTAACCAGGGGAGAGTTCTGTCAGAGAGTCGGTGGCTCCGTGAATCTCTCGGTACTCTCTATATACGGGGCTACGACCATGGCTTCGGCCAGAAAATTAAAGGGCTGCCCAGGCCATAACTGGGCAAAAATCGAGCTTCGGCTCAGTCGCGGGGTGAGCCTCAGGCTCCCGTATATACAAAAAAATGCCAATAGTGCTAAATTAATTGCTTTGAGCTATAATATTTGACCAATACTCGAGTGAAATCGGTTCTGAACTATTTCCACAAAGTCTCTAATATTAGTAATAACAACCCGAGTTGTATTTTTTCAATCTCCCTCGAATCGAATGTTCTATTAGAAGAGGGGGTCTATTACAAACTTTATAATATGACTAATTTTAACAGATTACCTTTTAAAGACTTACTTATCTGAGAGCAATTCCAGCAAAAACTGCCATAGTTGTATTTGACCGCTGCCCGCAGATGCAAGCCGGCTCGACGTTGGACCGAGAATTTGATAGGGATCTGAAAATTTGTTATACAATTTGTATTAAGTTAACAAGGTTTAGTGAGTATTTTCATTTTTATCTTTACCGTTATATAAAAATAGCGATGAATATTTGCTTCCATTTTAATGAATTTCAATCTCGATCGAAAATTTCGACGAAATTTAATACATGCCCGACGCCCTAAGCAATCAATTCTTTATTTGTTTTAAGATATATACGCTCATGAAGAGGCTTTATCTGAATAAGTGAGTCAAGTTTACTCCCGTTTACTATTTGCCTTGCAAAGTGGAATAAAAAGACTGGGCCCTTGTTACAGCCCAGGCAACTTGTTGGCGAAACTATATCTTCCCTTTTCATTCCCTCTCACATATCGGTCTTATAGTGTAGTGGCTATCACTCAGGACTTTGAATCCTGCGACCCCGGTTCGAATCCGGGTAAGACCTGCTTTTTTGTCTTCGTTATTTTTTCATTTTCTCTGTTCTAAATCATTAAATCAGGTAAAAATTAAATAAAATATTCCTGGAAAATTTTTTAATTTCAATAAATTAATAAATTCAAAAAGATAGCAAAACTTCAAATCAAAAATTCCTAACAAATTTTGTAATTTCGAATAAATAATTTGTATAGCCTTTTCATTCCCTCTCACATATTGGTCTTATAGTGTAGTGGCTATCACTCAGGACTTTGAATCCTGCGACCCCGGTTCGAATCCGGGTAAGACCTGCCTTTTTATCTTCGTTATTTTTTTCATTTTCTCTGTTTCGAAATTATTAAATCAGGTAAAATTTAAATCAAAAATTCCTAACAAATTTTGTATTTCGAATAAATAATTTGCATATTTCACATTTTTCTTGAACAATTTAGTCCCTAGCCTTTTGGTTCCTCGAATCTCATATAATAAAACAATAGCCTAATCTCGACTAGCTTGTTTTGTTTGAAGAGGAGCCGCGGGCACTTGTATTCGGATTGTGGACTGAGGACTCTATAGGTTTGGAATAGTGCCTTTCCGGGTAACTGGGAAGCGAATAAACACGCAATCAAAGTCAATTGTTGGTTTGCATGGATGGGAAGGGACTGTAGTTTGGTTGAGGACTTGGTGGTAATTGAATCAATCAAAGCGACTCCGACGACCACTACACAAACATGGAGTCAATCAAGTAAGAAGATGGAGAGTTAATTTGCATTTGTGTTGAATAACTTTCAGGTTAGTTGAAATGGGTTCAAGACTGAGAGTTTCTTGAAATTAATGACGAAAACTTACATCAAGAATAATTTGTATAGCCTTTTCATTCCCTCTCACATATCGGTCTTATAGTGTAGTGGCTATCACTCAGGACTTTGAATCCTGCGACCCCGGTTCGAATCCGGGTAAGACCTGCTTTTTTGTCTTTCATTTTCAATTTCATTTTTAATCTTTTCCATCAAATAACACAATTGTGAGAATATTTTTAGCGAGGGTTCTTCGGGGTTGTTTTGAAATAATAAATTCTCTCGCCGAAAAGCCGCTCAGAATGATGAATCCAATTTACTTAAATTCCCACCAAAATTATGTTAAATAGGAAGCCTTCAAGAATATTGAAGGGCGCCTTGAAAAATAAAAAAATATGTTCGGAACAAAAATATTTTTAAATCATTATGCAAACCTTGTAAAATTTTCAATGAAATCCCGGATAATTTTGTTATTGTATTTTCATGTACACAGCGTACCTCCATAGGTGCACCAATGCCCCGGACCAAAAAGAGTCAATTAATTACACATCAAATCCATGAGAGAACAACCCCATGTAAAATATTGAACGGCTGTTACTCTCAGCTGACCTTGTCTCAACCTTACAATGATGTACTAAACGACTAATTGTTCTAGAAAGATTACCGTAAGGACACATGAGAAAATCCATGAGGTATTATTAATGGGGTTGGTCTGTTTCGAACAACAGTTGTTGTTCCAATGAACAGTTATCCCATTGAACAAAAGAGGCATATTGAGCATCTAAGGAGTGATTTTCTCGAGTCATTTTCATGAATGACTTCACAAAAGAGAGCTTTATTAGTAATAAGCTCAAGATTTGGGCATTATCCCATTTAGAATGAACACAATGAATTGCTGGAAGCAGACATGTAGGACAGGTGAGCTGGATAAGTGTGACCTGCCACTTGAGGTCCCGGGATTTGGCGCCAAACGGAAATGTCCTAGAATAGACATGTTCCAGGTGTAAAAATTTATCTAACATTACCTTGGAAATTTTGAGAATCACCTCAACTTTGTAAATATAGTTCACGTCTCCAATTCTATGTCAGTTTTCAATTCTATCGCATCTCTCTCTATCTTGAGATTTTGAAAACTACAAATCTGACAAAAAAACAACTGACAATATCTCACTCGATTATCACTCTAATTTGTTGAATCTCTAAACTTCTCTGGATTTTGTCACAATTCTAAACTTCTAAGCACCGTGAATCTCGCATTCGAAATCGCTCCGTTTCATCCAGAATTTAGTCAATTTTAGTAATTCAATCAGATTTTGCATATTTACATTCGAAAATTGGTCAAGCCACTTGGAAAGTGCCCAAATTTGTATGCAAATTTGGTGTTATGTTTATTCTCTGGAACTCAGAAAATTTCCTTCTTTCATAAACTTACGATTTCCAAGTCAAATTTTGAGGTTTTCGATCGATTCTTGCCCAAAGTAAAGTAAAAAATTCAGCCCCCTCCAAGTGGCAGCTTTTCGAGAACTTTTGAATCTGCATCTCGAGTCCAAAAGACAATCAAGATGTAATTAGGTTAGGGCACAGCGTGTCCTCTCTCCATTTCTCTTCGAGAGTCTTCCATAGAAAGGCCATGGAAGAAAATGAGGAACCGGCTAATGAGCCCGCATGGATGGGAACAAAGGGACCTCACAAAAGAACTCTCTTTCAGTGTCGTCACATCGCTACAGTATCCCGCCACACACACTTCCGGGCGGCATTATGAAAAAGAATATCGGTGGCGCATCCTTGTAACGAAAAATAGTAGAGCGCAAATAAATGATAATAGGTCTAACTGATGGTTGAAATTTGGAGATTTCGAAATTAAACTTGTAAAGTTTTCAATTTTTCTTATTTGGAAATCATAAACCGATTTTTGACTAAAGTCGTAAAGAGCATCTTAAATACGTTGACTGAACTTTTAAGGTTGAAAAGTTGTATTGAACTTGGTAACCAATTCACAAAAAAATTCTCAAATTTTTATGCAAAATTTGAATTTTTCATGCAAAAGATGAATTTGGTCTTAAACTCCCAATCGCTGGTTAATACTCCAAATCTCAATTCAAATCTGAGGCAAACTAAAAAAACGCAAATCTTCCCAGCTTTTACCTCAAGAACCCCTATTGATTTCCCCCACCTCGGCGGTGGCATCGTCGGATAATCGCTCAATTATTCAACCACCCCATATTATCGCGCGCAACCTTTGCTTTTGTTAATCGTCACCGTTTAGAAGGCTCGATTTCTTTTCCCCATCCTTGTTTTGGCTCAATATTATAATACTGTCCACAAAGGAGCGGCGGCTTTTCTTTCTGGCCAGGGCAATTTCCGCCGTCCGCGATTTCTCCCGTTTCGAAGCAAACATGAGAAATCGTCTTGAAACCGTGCTCAAGGCGGTGCCCAAAAGGGGTTTGGCCACGAAGCAAAGGCCTGGATAATAGCCCCGCCAGCTTAAAGACCCAGCTTAAAGAGCCTGGTCCTTATATAATATTCAACAATGGGCGCTTCACATATTTAATGGAGTGGGCGCATGTTATGGAGCTCTTGCCCTTTAACCGATCCTCGGAACCGAATAATGAGTCCCGCAATTTGGGGTCATAAAGGATGGATTTCAAGGAGCTAAGTCGAGAATGGGCCGAGAATGGAAGGCTCAAGAGGGCGGTAAAAACGAGCAAAAGGTGATTCGAAAATTGTTTACTGTTGCGAAACGTGTTGTAATCTATGAAAGCTTGAGAACATTTCTAGAATCAAGTAAGAGCCTGGATTGGAAAAATTTTAGGAAAAGTATGATTCTTTTCACAATTTTTAATCCTCTAGGAAATGGGTTTCAAGCCAACAAAATAAATGACTCGCAAGAAAATTGCGGTAAATTTTCAGTGCAATTTCCAGGAAACATGGGCAGACTGAGTAACTGAGGGGTACAAAGTAAATGATGAGGATTTATAGATCGCATATGGCAACTATTATGAGCATGATTGATTTCAGGATGTAATTTAGAGGCTGGTTTGGATTTGCAAAATGTCTAAGGGATCTAAATTTTGCCGGAGGGTAGGGCAGAAAGCCTCGGAAATGTTCCTTCAGAGAAACGGGAAGTCGTTTCCATGTACCTTTACAGATATTTAGTAGTGAAATCCAATTTCAAGGATATGAAAGTAAGTAGTACCTGGCTGAGTAATTCCGGTATTTGTTCCCGCAGCTGCCGGGTGGCACGATGACAGACGAAATGTCTGCGAGGGAAAGCAGGAATTCATAGTCGAGTTGAATGATGAAATCGGCTGAAAGTTAATGTTTCCATTTTTGAATGACACAAAATAGATTCGGGATTACCTCTTCTTTGATTGCCATTGACGACATTCCAGTGTTGCCGCCGATGGTATTGCCAGCGGCCGAAGTGGCAGCAGTGGAAGCAGCCACTGCTGCAGCGGCCAGAGACGCGGCTCCGTGAATACTCAAATTGACACCTGAAAGTTTGGCACCTAACGGGTGATAACTAATTATTGGCAGTAAATATATTGTATTCAAAAATTATATTTTTGGCATAATGTTCCGATGTGTCAGTTGTGTTAGTTGTAGCAAATTTTGTCTAGTTTCCGAAAATGTATAACATGTCTGTTCGATAACTGTTTAAAATTTAAGAAGTATGGCATTGAATGAAGACACCCTCAGAATCTGAGTGTACAAGTTTTGGACAGGTGTGACTGCAGAAATCTTCAAATTTTTTTGTTAACATGATTTCTGCCTTGAAAACTTTTATACGCAGATGAAACTAGACAAAATTCTGAACACTATAGCGAAAACCGGATATTATTTAGACAGTTTTTATGGATTTTAGAGCCGATTTTGGAAAAGTCCGATTTTGAAAAATACTGATTTTTGAGAAAATCGGTATTCTTGGGCTGACATTTGACTGCAGATAACACTAAAATCCACAAAACCTGGCTAAATAATGTCTGGTTTTCGATATAATGTTCAAAATTTTGTCTATTTTGATTTGCGTATAAGATTGTGCAAGAAGACTATCAATTTTATGAAAATTTTGATAATTTCTGCAGACACACCTGGTCAAAAATTTTTGATCTCGACCAAAAATTTAAAACCCGAATTTTTGGCATTCCAGGGGAGTATCGGATAAATACTCATGCTGGGATCCTGGACAAGGCTCTTGGCTGTATTACTGTTTTTACAGCTCCGCCGGAGCTCTAATTTTGGCGGAGTTCGCATTATGTCAAGTCGAGGTGTAAAATTTTCGGAATGGAACTTGTACACTCGGATTCTGAGGGTGTCTTCATTCGATGCCATACTTCTTAAATTTTAAACAGTTATCGAACAGACATGTTATACATTTTCGGAAACTAGACAAAATTTGCTACATCTAACACAACTGACACATCGGAACATTATGCCAAAAATATAATTTTTGAATACAATATATTTACTGCCAATAATTAGTTATCACCCGTTATTGCAAAATTTGATATCATACATTCTTGAAAGTTGCCCGAACCATTTTGGAAACTATTAAAGAATTTTGGTAATATTTTATCTTTATAGTGCAAAATGAATCGAACAGTGGGCGAAGTCAATATATCTGGCATTCTAGAGTCTTACAGTTTTTTAACTGTTTCTAACTAATTCTTTCTAATTATCACTTTTTAATTTGGGCGTGATTCTGATTTCGATCCGATTAAATTCCAATCCAAAAAATCTGTTAATCCAGAAAATCTCACCGTTTTGCGTTTGTGTGGGCGTCGACGGACTGCCGTTGGCCAAATTTGAATTCAGAGTCGTCTTCTGTATCAGGGATCCGTTTGAAGTAGTGGATGATGTGGTCATTGGCGGATTGGTCAGAGAATTGTCGTAGAAAGGATACCGTTGGTGACAGATCGAATGAGGAAATCCGCCCATGCCCATACCGGCGCTGTGCATTCCATTCTGCAAAAATGTAACGTAATTAAGATAGAATTTGCGTTATTTTTCTTCCGGGGATACGGTAGCGCCTCTAAGAAAGCACCTTATAGATATAATAATATGCACTTTTAGGTCTTTCAGGTTACGGGAGGCCGGATGCCCTCCCAGAATTTTTCAATGTTTGCAAAAAATGTCTGCTAAAAGTTTTCTGCTGCTTTTCGCAAACC